GTAATAGAAACAATAATAATTCTAATTTCGTCGAAACGTTTATAATATTATTAAACGTACAATTGTTACAGCACGCGATTGCTTAATACCCGAAACGCCTTGCAGTATAAAACATTAATATAATATTATTATATTGTAATCGGTCGGAAAAGCGATAAACTAAGATGAGAATCGTTGTACAGTTCATGACAGATGGTTTGACCTGGTCGAACCGCGATTAAGACGGTGTGCTTTGCAAATTCCGTCGACGAAATAGACGCCATTGATTTCTATGCCTATAATATATTAAATATACATACATATTGACATAATATATGTAATATATATCTATTTTATTCGTAAATTAATCATTCCACCGCGATAATAACACTGCATTATAATAACGTTAAAGTTATCTGCAGRACTGTGGCGAAACCGTCCTCAGTATAAGATAGGTCGACGATCGGTTTGTGAGCATATTATATACACGTGAATGACATYAGAAATTTAATTTCGGTATACCTAGGTACATAATATTATTATTATAATACCTTGCTCGTTTCTCGTATATGGTGTGCGTACGATTTACGTCGAAAAATATTCAATTCGCYTTAGTATACAGCACACGAACGTTGAAACATCGACGGCTRCAATGCGTAGGTATTTAATATTATAAGATTTTATAATAATTATRTTATTGTAATAGATGCACTGTACTTTTCCCACGAGGGAGGGACCGCAGGATATTGAACTAATTTTATGATTTATTAAAAATATTAAAACTAAACAGTATACCTGATGGTTTTATATTAATATTTAACGAACCGATATTGGTTTATCTGTCCGGACTGTATTAAAAGAATTGTGAATGTATCCCACAAATCATMATTGTTGGTGTGTACTTTTGTCCCTGGATGGATACGTATTGGATACAGAAGTATAGTAAATTAGATATCCGTTGTTTACGGGATGATCCATTTAACGTAATATTTATTTTACATAATTTTAACCCGTTAAAAAAAATATTATACTTTTATTATTTGTTTTTATTTTTTATGACAACACATCATATTATAATGGTCAAAAATTCCAGAAGTATTCCAAAAACATTCATTATATGAGGTATTAAAAATGGATATGGCATTAATGAAGTTTAAAAGAAAATTTAAAAAAAAGTAACCAGAAAAAATATTAAAAAATATTTTTTTTGAACAAATTAAATGTGTGTAAAAAATATTAAAAAAAAAACTTTTTTTTATAATAAGTGTTTTACTCTAAATGGATTACCTGGTAAATGTATAATTTATGTAATAATATATGTTGGTTGCCATGCCACTGACGTCTATGTACCACTTGCCACAATTGTATGTTTTTGAGATAAATATCTATTTTTTTTTCCAACAAGAGATGTTCATTGGGATAGCAATAAATTCTTTGGTTTTTAAAGCGTAAGTACCTATCATCTTATTATTTCGACAGCGCCCACTGAGATATAGCTATCTATTAACAAAAACTTTTCGTTTTTTATTCTAATCCATTATACAGTTGAGTTGATTTTTTAATGATATGTGTCAAAAATATATTAATAAAAAATACCATATTACTTAGTGATTTTGAATCGTACAAGAAAAACTGTTAGGCACCGTTTGTTTCTACTTTTTAAAACATTTTTATAATATATTTTAATACGCCTATAGATRGTTTTTAATAAATTATGTTGATTTTTTAGGTCGATACTGACACGGGCGCCCCATGAATCGATTTAAACATATCTAACCAATTGTAAAACACGAACGAACAAATCAAGTATGATAAAATATTATCTTATACTTAATTTCCTACCTCAAAAATATTTTCAAATTAAATATTCCATCGGACAAACATAATTTATGTTTTATTTTTTAAAGACATTTACTATAATAGTTTTATTATAAGTTAATAAAAAAGACAATTTTGTTTCTAGTCGGTATATTGTGTTTTGCAAATTGAAAAAATATTTAAATCACTCAAAATAATAACTATATTTTTCGATTTTACTATTATCATTATTATAACCTAATTTTATTTAGTCTACATATCTAGTAAACTGCAGTGGTTTATTATAGTATTTAAAATATTTTTCTGTGTATTTTTAAACTCTATAGGTATTTTATTTTTAGTTAAATTTTATATTGTTCCATACCTATATAACCTATAMATATTCATCAAACAACGCTCATAATCATTATCATCGGCTACATATTATATCCAATATTCTCGACTGTTTTATAATATATTAGATATTAAGTACATGAATAGTTTTTTGAATTTGTCTCAGTGGCACCGAATTCCTTAAAAATCTAGTAGGTAGTGCGAAAAATATTTCAAGAAGTCCAACATCTTAATATCGGCAAAAATGGCATACCGCGAAGAGGAAAATGATCAATATAAAGCGGCCTTGTCCTAAATGTTCAAAATATACCTTAACATAGGGTTCGGCGTCACTGATTTGTCTTGCTTATACAATCATACAATACTTGACACACTTCAACTATGGTAAGCTCAAATTTACATGTTATATTTGTGATTAGTGACCTACCAATGTATTTATATTATATTACCGGTAGTTTATTCCACCGGCCGGCCTACACGGATGGCATTTCCGGTTTGGCACATGGCGCAGAGTTTAAAGCGATAGCAAAAAACGATTATTAAAAATAAAAACCTGCTTACATTTTATGCAATGACCCAATGCCTTCACTTATACAAAGTCGTATCTCTTGCAAGTTATTTAATAGCCAGTGACATTTTTTTACGTTTCGTTGGAAAGTTGTTTTTCTCTAACCATGACGACTGCAACTTTGATCATTGGTGTTTTTATACTTGCATATTATATTATGGACGCGTATTATAATATTATCAAATCAACGGTAAATAATTATGAATTTATGATACAGCGTCGTATATTATATACCTATACCAGAGATGGAAAATCTATTGCACGTTTCGCTTAATCTTGTATTTAATGGGGACAAATAGTGTTTATTACTTCCGAAAAATAAAGTTCCAAATTATAATTGAGTCTTTTGTAACAGACTAATGATGCATTAATGAATTAAGCTAATTTTACTCTTATATTTAATTTAAACATTTAAGACTWAGAAAATACACATTATACAATACACTGATGTTAAACATTTTTAGCTACTAAATTTTTTCAAAACCACAACCCCCGAGATAAAATTATTTTATAGTTATACCCATATGATATTAGTGACACGAATTTTGTTTAACACTTTGATTACCACATTTTCGCATGCGACCTGAAAAAGGTTCAGTACCCCTGGTATATACTGCAGTGGTCTGTGGAGTATATTAATGCGAGAGGAAACCACTTCAGACGTTCGCCATTCGAAAAGTTTGTCTGGGGTGGTGTTAGAATGAGTGGGGAGAGCAAACCGTAAATAATATTCTAAACATATCTACAAGTTGGTTCTCGTTTTTCCACGTATACATTTCTTAAACTGAAATAATTTTACCCCCAAATGTACACCCTTAAATACGATCCCGTATAAATTTTATTATCATAGCAATATAAGACTAACGGGATCAATCGTCTATTTAYAATATTACAAATGKCGCCATACTCGTACATAAGTTATACATTGTGTTATGTTATACTAAGKTTCGTTAGCGTTCGTATTTGAAGTACTTACGTGAGGAACAGCTGAAGAAATTCGCCGATGAAACCAAATTTGTGTATGGACTTGTGCCCGTGAACTTCGCATATGGCTCGGAGCAGACACGCTTTGCCGTCCATCCCGAAGTTTGTCAAAAGGTCCTCTACGACAGTGAACAACAGAGCTCTGCAAAGACATAATATATATATTATGAGATTATAAAAGAGGAGCCGGTATTTAAAATATGATATTCTGAATCTGTTATCGTCACGTCTACCACAGAGTTCGGTGCTTCTACTTTAAAATATACGTGTCCGTAATGATTGTAGTGATAAAACGTATTCGAATTAAACGAACTTCATTAAGAAAACTATCATTCGCTAATATTATAATGAAAATATTTTGACTTATTTAATAAGAAAAGTTGACAAGTACAAAATATAAAAATCGTCATCGATACTCGATAGTGTAGCTATATACTCAATTGTTACACACACGCTCATACGTAGGCGTGTGTACGAGTTACTGTACCATAATATAATGATAATAATAATAATATTTATCGCATACGGTATTATTAATTATTATTATGTTATGATTAATATTTATTTCCGTCGAAGCTCCGAGGCTCGTAAATGTTTGGGCTATTCCATTTTCAATCTACCGCTCCTTCTTCTCGCGCCATCACGGGACTTTCCCAACACTATTTTACCCATTTTCATTGGTCAGCTATAAAYGGTTCTTATTGTTTTACTTTAAGACGATTTTATAATTGCAACAGGTTGCTAAAACCAGTCTGCGCGTGGTGCCCGTGAACTTGAACCGATCTATGRTTACTCGGCGTAACCGYCATCTACRGCGGCGGCAGTTTCTGGTCGGAATATTAATACGGCAATTATTCATCACAACAGATACTATCTATAAATTATAATAATAATTTATACATGCATAATATGATGCACGTAATGTCGGTCAAATAAAACGTATTCAGCCGCGTAACACCATGCGATCGTGAGAAACGCGGATGAGGTGTGTGCATAATATRTAGGTATGGGTCCTATAATATAATAATTATTATTATAAACTATATAGTATATGAGACCTACCACATATGATCAGCTGTTATCTACAAAATTACGTTTCATTAAGCCTAAAATATAATGTAATGTAATTAATTTATAATGGTACGTATACGTATTTAAGTACCTACGCGTGTCCATTATAATAATATATACGATGTATACAACGAGTATGTGTTATGAAATGGATTTTCGCATAATATGGTTGCGTATAGAGTACATTGGTTTTGCAAMTGATATTGCTGTGAACAGTATAGGTATATATTACTGACAATCTTCGTGGAAAACTATTATGGCTTTTGCAATTTTTCTCAACATTTTAAATATAAATATAAAACACATTTTTTGAATTTCATACATACACATATGTGAGAGTAAATTTCAAGGGAAATGTGCTGCGTGTCGTAATAAGATTCGTATGGGGAAATTTATAACACGACAAATGGCACCTGTTTTCGTGATTTATGAAAAAAAGAATAAAGCGTTCCGCAGCAAAATATGTAAATAAATGTATTTCAACTCAAAGCAGTAAATATTGGTAAAGGTATATTATAACATAAAATCTCAGAAAACTAAAGTTTCTGAAACTTTTATTTTTCGAGATTTCAAAATGAGAAAACGGCATCGTTGTTATTATTTACGTAWATAATTGTAGATAAAATAGTTTGATGTCTTTAAATAATAYATCTTAAAACTTAAATACTCAAAATAGTTCTTACATTATTTAATCATGACGTTATTCAATTTGATTATCCGTCTAAAAGTTCAAAGTGTTTGAATTATTGTTATTTAGCGTACAATTAAATTAGTTGTATACATTTTTATAACATTCAGCATGTAATTACATAGTTCAATAGTTGTATCTTTTAATTATTGATATAAGAGTTTCTACATTTATTTACGTTTTACTTTTAGTAAATACATTGTTATTTCTTGATGCGAGTTGAAAAGATTAATGTTACACTTAAACTCATAAATAACTCGGTCGTATTTATTTTTATAACTATGTAAGTTTCTCAATTTTAGAGGTTGCTACGCATATTCTGTGGCGATTAAATGATGCTATATTTGAATGTGAATTACAACAATTGATAAGAAATTGTGTACTGGTGCAGATACAACTGTTAATAGCTCTAACATAAATGTATAAATCTCGTGTTTCACGGTATAGTTGATAGTTGTACATGCGAGATACAATCATGTTTCCGTTGTATGTTTGCTACTTTCAAATTAAAGTTACAAACTGTGCTTTAAGTTGAGATAACAACAAATATATTATGTATAAAATTCAAATTTCGAATATTTTTGGTTTCAAGTTTAAAYAAGCAAAATATATTAAAATTTATTAAAACGTACTACATTGTATACACGATGTTAATTGTAACCAGTAAGTATACGGCCTTTTATTTTGGTATTCGGGAAAAAATATTAATTTTATGTCATTAACCTAATATGTGCTTATGAACCGTTTTAATTTTTGAATACAAAGTGACAAAAGTATATTAATTTATACACTACTATATCTCTGTATGATATCTCTTTTATTTACAAATAACTTCGTGTATGATGCACTGAAAACATACGCTCGTATAATATACTCTGTATGTATGTATATTATAAACAAATACTATTAAATTATATGAAAAATAATTATATAAATATTTTAAATACTATTAAGTTTATTTAAAATTATAAAATATGTGTATAATAATATTATAGAATATGAAAAAATGTAATATGAAGGTGTCTGTTTATTGAAATTATTCTCATGAACAGATATTATGTAGTCTGATCAAAAGCAACATGCCTAATATTATACAGCTATGTCATAAAATAATGAATATTATTATTCGTAACTCGTTAACTTAGTTTAACTTGGCATTTAATWTTCACTTGTCACCAATGATTAAATTACTAGATATAGTTGATAAATAATATTAAGATCGTAATAATTTACGATAGTTGCGGACACGTGAGTAAAACAGGAACATAAATATGTCAACTTATTTTGATTACATGTAGTATTCCGTTTGGYGTTCTTCTGAATTATTCAAAGGTTGTTTATATGTTATTTACCTTTCACCACCTTGGAAGTACGAGTGTATTGGTTTGGGTAACGTTGGAACAGATCTAGTCGATCTCCGTCCGTCCATAAGTTGAGACACATAGTCGGTGAGTAACGATCCCATCTGCCTGCCCATGCTCCTGGCCAATATCGGCGGGAAAGCRCCAAATGGATTCTGATTATCGGTCAGTCCCAAGTTATCGAAGTCGACTATATAAGGAAATTTAAACACAAAATAAGTGAATTCAAGTATTTTAAAAATACATAAATCAGGTTTTCAAATGTTCATTCCTAAGGAATTCGAATATTTATAATTTATTTTATTTTTATTTTATTTTTATTTTTTGTAAGGAGAATCCACGGCAACATAGGCCATTTTATTGAGCGTAACACGTTTCCACCAAAAGTAGACCTTTCCCTTTTCCACCAATATCCGTTACCACCAAATGAGATCTACCTATAATTAAACCACGGTTAATTTACCAAAATAATTTGTATACTACGCTTATATTACAATCTTTCATGGAGTAATAAGTTTATTTAAAATACTAATGCTGAATTGAAAAAATGATATTATATTAGTGTATTTAGTTATGTTTATATTGTATCTACTTATATATATAATTGGATAAAACGGATATTGGTGGAAAAGGGAAAGATATACTTTTGGTGGAAACGGGCATCGCCCATTTAATTATATGATAGGACACGACAAGGTAGGCAATAAATAATAAAAATTTAAATTTTTATGGATCGTAAATTTCCTCATTCTAAATATATTATATTATATATTGTTACAATTGTTTAAATTTAAGAATTTTTACTAAATTTTAAAAGTTTAAAAACGTCTAAAATTGCAGCTGATTGTATCAACCTACCTATGCAATTGTAGATATGATATTTATTACATTTAAGTATAGTAATTACGTAATGGTAGTTATATACGACGATCACATGATAAAAGTACAAAATAAAATATTGACCTACAAAATATGGTATATGATGTGGACTAAAGTGTGCCTTAAAATATTTTATAAGTCTTCTAATGTCAATACCTACCTATTTACCGCAGTAGCTATATGTTATAGTCTTACTGGGCCGCTGAATCATGCACCTAAAAAGTTTAGTAAATTTACGCTGAAGTCATTATTGCACCCGTTTAGTTAATAACTGCCATTACTTTTGTAGACGATGATAAATCGAGATCGTAAAAGAGTATAAAACCAATTTTTTTATGTAAACGCGCACTAAACTGGTTCCAGATTCTCATCATTTCTCTAAAACCGTAAAAATCGTTAACTCGATTCGGCTTAGTAATAATTGGTAAGAGACATACTGTGTGAATATCGGATACTCATCATCAGTTTTTTGTCTCTTCTGAAAAGTAATAAAATGTGGACATGTGCCCTTCTTGCATTTAGTGATTCATGTATTATTTATTTATTTCTATGCGTTCGACTTTATTATAAAATAAACGAAATTCACAGTAGATGTGTGTACTCGGTGTACTCGTCTGTAGACAGTTTTCTAGTACACTTATTATGATATTGTACATATTCATATCAATAGGCATAGATAATATTAGGTTATGCTCATCGATTACACCACGARTTATGTGTTTTTATAGCATTGGTAGAGTAATTACAGCTAACAACTAAATATARTATATAGGTATCTGGTATATGCCTACTCGATAAGATAAAAGTAATGGATTTAATTTTTTTTTATTCTGCCGACCAAACGGCTTATTTATTAGAATATTAGAATATTGGTTATGTAATTGTGAATAACAATAAATCGCGGTGGTCTTTGCAAAGATATGGGGCCGTATWGGAATGATAAAGAAATTTCAGAAAACAAATGAACGATGAAATAGAAGAATAAAATAACTGCTGATATAGGAAAAATGAAAAAAAAGATGAAGAAAGATAAATAATATATGGATGGAAAAAAATCGTCGATTCGTGAATAACARGCTGATGCTAWTGTGAATAGTAATCCGTCTAGCGGGAATTGGTATAAAAGGTAGSATCAAAAARTTAATAATAATTTAAAATATTATTCTGAYCCCACGTCAAATTGTTCTTAAAGGTGGACTTGAGAGCAGGCAATACGAAAATTAAGCTCACCWCTAATAGGGTTTTCAATTCAACGATTTAATTTTGAATAATAAATAAGGTGATACTGTCGTAGGATTAGAGTATCAGACATTTTAACAGAAGTCTAGAGAGCGAATAATTAATATGCAAATAAATAATATATATCAATGTATAAAAATCGTCACACTGACTCGTGAATGGCAAGCTGATGCTCATGTTGGACAGAAACCCATCTGGYGGGTATCTGACGAATGGCAAGGACAACGATGGCGTAATCGTAAGCCTGGTACCGGGTGGCAGGGCCAGGCGGCCATCCGTGGTGATCCACAGCAAGCGTTTCTGCCGCGAGTGTGGCGTGTTCTTCTCTTCATGAACACCATTATTGTCGTCTGCGCCGGTAACATTGTTCTCGAACCACAACCACAGTAACAACGCGGTCCACAGAGACGATCTCCCGAAGTATATCATTCCTAAAATGAAAAAAAAATATGTAGTTATACTGTAGGTGAAAATAATATATTTTAGAAGAAGAAATAAAACATGTTTCCGGTTCCTAATATAAGTATAGTTACACAGACAATTCATAATACACCATTCCATCAATAATATCATTTCAACTACATTTTTGATTTGTATAAGGTATTTTGTTCTAAATAATAAATAAATAATACACAAATTAAAAAATACTGACATCTTCGSTTACAAACGTTTTAATAATGACAGGTAAAACAGATAATATTTATTTTAGTTTCAATATTGTGGTAATATGGATAGGTAAGTATTCAAATCGCGTTAAAATATATATATATATAAAAACATTCGAAGTGTATGATTTAAAATGTTATTTTTAATTCTTTGTGGTACAATTTGTAAGATATTTTATAATTTTATTTCATAACGTTATTATTTTTAAATTAAGGTTTTTTCGTTATAAAAACTATAATTATTAATATGTATAGCGTTAATATTCGTGAGGACAATATACCGATAAACGATGGAATTTAGTTCAGTTAAGTTAAGCCTACACGTGCATTTTTTTCAACTTGCAATAAAATAATATTTAGCAAATAAGCAATGCCCGACGAGACAGTACCTATATAAATTATAAATACATTTTATAAACAGTGTCATTATGCCATCGTACAGACGTTATACATATAGATATTCCATCCACTTCCTTTGTACTGTCGCCTCCTAGTTAATTAATATAATATTCAGCCTCAGGCAAACATTGCAGTATAAGCACCTTGATCCTTTAGGCATTGGCCATTGTTTCTGTTTACCTGTATGCCGTATGACAATATTTGTTTTTTGTTTTATTATTATTATTGATTAATGTTTGTTAGCATTACTGTTGCACTGTCCGAAAGCTGCCCGTCTTCGCCAGGAACATAACAATTTTAAAAATTKTCTCGCTGTTCGCGCAATCGCCAAATACCATTTGAACGTACGCCGTMTATCGCTAATTAATTTGTGCGGGACTTCAAGATATCTATCGCAGGTACTGGGACGAGAAGACATTTCGATTTAGACGTTCTCTTGTCGTGCGTCTGTATACGTGCCACCGCAACTCACGTCCCAGAAATTAATCGCGTTTGTTGTTCATCGTTTTTCGCTGATCTCCGTAGGCCGTTCACCGGGCGTTACTGTTCCGTCGCCTACCGCATACCGGAAATCGATTCGTCTGCCGTTACCTTTGTGTTACGTGTAGGAACTGCGTAGACGTGTTGTAGTCCGGCTACGTTCTCGCACTCTTTACATCGTAATCTAATATTCTTATCTGTTGTGACGTTTTATCGTTATCAGCGTTATTCATACTACGCTATCATCCCGTCGCCGGTTGTATTGTCAGTTCTTACGTTACGATTTATTGTCGTGCACACGTCACGTAGATAGAAAAAAGGACATCGATTACAACTCACTAGATCATATTTGATTATTGTTGACCACCGGCTCGCTATTACATATATATATTTACATCAAAATCATGACATTTTGTAGTTTATCAAAGCTTACCTGCACGATATCATACATGAGAGTTCCGACACAGTAAGATGCTATACGTATATTATAGGTGCCTATATATATCACCATATCGGACTTTAGTTTCATCTTTCGTCGAGTTCGTAGCAAAAAACCTATACACACAGCTTTAATTTATTTTGTGAAAATAACAAGCCTTGCGCAAGACCTATAGACTAATGTCTAAYACCAAGACAAAGTTTACATGACCAAGATTTTGAAAGTCTTGGTCTTGTTTTGATTATCATTGGYTACGCTACCTGCATGTCTCTTACCATCGTAAGGTCCGTGTGGGTTCAGTCCCGATTCAGTCGGGTTAGGTAAGGAATCCAGTTAGGTCTTAGGAAGAGTTACAACAGAGATCGTATACTTCGGTACCAGGACGTTTACTCTAGAGCTCTGTATGGYCTGGTCTTGACCGCTGTAGAAAGAATAGCACAGCTAAACATTTTGTTGGAGGGGTTAAGAATAACTTGAAGTTGTACTCATACGGTAAACATAATTTTCATAGTAGGTACATTGATTTACGTGTTGTTTTAATTAAATACTGTATAGTCATCGATTTTAAATATTATAGGAAATGTATATGGTTTGTAATTATTATTTGAATGTAATATAGGAACTGTGGTTTTTGTATGTGTGTGTGGTATTTTTTGTACATACTGTATTGTTATCAGATGTAGATCTATTCTCATTATACACTAAATAAACGATWTATTTACTTAAATTTTATATTTTTACGATTTTACAAGTCGTTATTAGTTGAAATACATTTAGACACATTATATTTTATATAATCTACAATTCGAAAAATAGAAACAATATTAAATTGCGTACCGTCTTCACGGCTACACTAACTGTTCAGTAGGACAATGGTCTATATTATCACAGCYAAAAGATAACTGGTAAAAACTTACTACATCTGATCTCATTTTTAATCACCTAAATCTTCGCATTTTTAGTTCTTAGTATAAATAATACAGAATAAATCAAAAATGTTGATATTGTTAATAATTATTATTTTTGTAAATTATACAATACTAAGGCCTGGGATTTTAATGCTCTAAATATAATGTTTTAATGCGCTGAAAATTCTGTATAATTCACTAAAAGATACGCAGTATTTATTTTTTTTTTATAATTTCGTCATTCGTTCTAATACAAATTTGATGTACCTAGACGATAATATACATTTCAAAGAATAGTAAAACATGTTTAAACAGTTTTACAGGCATAACTAATCGTTTTAAACATAGAAAAACAATTACTTCCATTCGTTATTATTTTTTTTTGTATTGGTTTAGATCATATTATATTTATTTACCTGCCATATTGATATAATTTGTTCAATTTATACAAAAATCATGACGTAAAAAACATGTAAAATACATAAAATTAAATTTCAGATTTAAATACATTTAATATACTATCATAAAACTTATATCCTATCCCAGAATTAATTTCTAATAATTATATAGTAATTACGCCAACGGTGTCACGACGTACGTCATTTAGGTATGCCAATGTCAAGCCGATGACTGTATGTGGATATTTTTTTTATTGTATTGCTATCACTAATCTGGAGCGTCATTTTACCTATTAGTTTAGTTATTATTATTATCTACTGGGCATCCACTTAGTTTCTAATATGGTATTATTGTATTAATTGTTGTGCAATATTTACACTAAGATAGGTAGAAGAAGTTTATACATAAAAACGATTCAGGTTAAACTATTTGTTAGTATTTATACAGTGCCATCACCCATTCGTTACCCAGCTGTTAATAATAATTCCAGTAAGTTAAATAATAATTTTTATTACTGAATTATAAAAAAAAGAATACGACGTCAACAGCTACACCAAACAGTAATTTTATTATTGTAACAAACGCGTGGCTCGAAAAGCATCGACTAAATTTTTTATAATTTTTAAACGTTGTTCAAAGTGGCCGCGTCAGTAAATGTTTAAAATAAAATTATAAAATTCATGTAAAACWCGACAACAGGACATTTCAATTTAGTACACGCAATAAACAACAGCTTACGCCATGTCCGACGTGATACGACGATTGCGGCGAAAAACAGAACAGCYTCAGATCGGCCACACCGCACTGCCGGGGAACAGCATGGGTCACTGGTCAGAAAAGAATTCGTTCGCGCGCGCCGGATTCGCGTGGGACACGGTGGTTACGCGACGCATAGTTGGTACCTACTGATGTTGGCATAATCAGTCGTGGGCCACTGGTCATAATATCTCACCACTACAAAATAATTATCGCCGACCGTTCCGGTGGCAGACGAACGTATCAAAAAAGGTGATGACGCGGCCTCGAGAGCGACGAGAGTGATCCGCCGAGTGATGGTCAGTCGGTGTTTTATGCGACAACAGCAGCGGCGGCGGTGATGATGACAAAAATAACAAAACGTGGATCGATGAAGTGGTACCGCGGAACTGATACTCGTGCTACTGATACTCTCTATATTATGGTTTTAGCTCTGCATATTGTCGGCGGGCAGTGAATAAAGCGGGTGATGAGCGTCTTACCACCGAACGCCGAACTACGTAACCCGTCACGCGTTATTTTCTCTGAATAACTTCGCCTAAGGGCGCGGGGCTGCGGCCATTGTTATTTGCCTCGGAAAAAAAGGTAAGAACCGCTTAACCTCTTGTCCGACCGGATGGCGTTTTGCGCAGTTCGAGTGTTGCTTTCGGATCAACCGTTCGATCAGATCATCGAACGCATTGCTCACTTTTACACATCACTCGCGGTACTGCGTCTTCTATAAATCGCGCCGTTTGGCGTGTCTACGGCAGTCGATTGTCATTTCACAGTAGTCTCACCGTGCACACCTCACAATACATATTGTGCTTGCATAATCTTAACTTTGATTTTTAAAATTCAAACACATTAAGTATTTATATATATAATTAATATGTAGGTATCAAGGATTTATTTATAAGGTATAGCTGTATTACTATAAAGCGTCCAGGKAYTTCCCGTGGTTAAATTAAACCAAGACAGGCAATCCATCTACAGAACTACGCSGGATAACTAGAGCTGKATTATGTATATATTGCAAGACCATCATCCGAGACGGTCTATACCGAGTGTCTTATAACGGCGCGAGCGGCTTCGAGGACAAAGAACGAATTTTAAGCATACGCATATACGTATTTGTTAACATTTATTCAATCATCATTAATACTTTTATTATAAATGTAATCTCGAGATTTAAATATAAATAATAATTAATAGGCAGCTGCCTGAAAAGGTTGAAAGCAACTTTAGACTTAGAACTTAGAACAACTCTAGAACTTTAGTATAATATATTGATGTTTAAACAAAGGCACTTTACATAAAGAATTTTTTGATGAACCATAAAAATAACATTTTAATTTAAAAATATASTAGAAACTACACTAAGCACCTTTATTTATTTAAATTTG